AATCTACCACGATAAGCGCCCATTTCTTACTAGGCTATTATTTTAGGCACAACACGAAATATTCCGTTTCTTTGAATGGGTAAATTAAATATTTTGGATCAAATTGCATCTCATTTTGCTCACCTCTTGTTTTTCTGTTATTTCATATTTGTCGCCATCTTAAGACCTTGGGCTTGTGCCTGTCCTTCAGAATCCGTGGGTCCCAGCCTCTTTCCGACGTGGGAGTTGGGCGTGCTCAAAGGGCAGGGGCTTCCCTGGTGCCCACCCGAGCGGGCTGTGACTTCTTGGGAAGGGGGAGGCATCTCTTGGCAGCGCCTCCTGTCAGGGCGGATCTGAACTGTGCCTCAGTGATTTCCATCCGTTCACTTCCGGTTCAACCGGTGTTTCTCCATCCAGGGTTGCCCTGTGTGTACCATTTACCGCACGGTGCTGGATAATCTCTCATGATAGAAAAAACAAAGCAAGGCAGTCGCTGCCCTTGAAGGGTGCAGGGGTCCTCAAACTATAGCCTGCAGGCCACATGTGCCCCGCCGAGGACATTTGTCTGGCCCACAGGGTGTTTTTGCCGCCACTGCCTGTCCTGCTTAGCAGCCGACTGGTCCAGGGCCCACAGTGCGCATGTGTGGAATGTGCGCCGCACTCTCCAATGGTCTGAGGGACAGTGAACTGACCCCCTGTTTAAAAAAAGTTTGAGGACCCCTGGTTTCGAGCCTGCTAGAACAGCTGTCTGTGCAAGCAGGGGCACAGGAAGACACAGGGACGCAGTGGGGACAGAGGGAGGCCTGGATGCAATGCTTGGGAGCACAGACAGGGCGCTTCAGTTTGTAGCAAGGCGTGAGAGAGGCAGTGACACTTGACATGGCCTTAAAGGATGGTGGGGTTTTCACAGGAATAGAGGCAGAAAGCGTGCTCTGGGGAGGGAACGACGAGCATAGACGGGGCCCCGGGCACGTCCACGCCTTGGCGACTAGTCCATCACCCGGTCGCTGTGGCAGGGGGCGGTGCAGAGACAGAGGACAGAATGGGGCTCCTGCCTGTGCACCCCATGCTCTGTGTTTAGGGGTTGTAGCCTCATGTCCATGAACCTTGGGCATGTCCCCTAGCCCCGCCCCACCACGCTTCACTGGGCAAATCAGTGATTTGAGTTGATCTGTCATTGCTTTCTTGTGGCTTTGCTGCCTCTTAATACACATCGTTGAGTAGAGGGCGTGCTGGTCTAGTGAGCGAGACCCTGCCCAAGGAAGCAGCATTCAGAGTGAAGATGGGGGCCCCACCATCCTGCAGAAGCCAATTCCTCTTCCTGTCGCTGCTTCCTGTTCGGGAGCCCCCTGGGTGGTGCTGATAAGTCTGAGATGAGGCCGCCTCGTTTCTGGGTCCAGAAGGTTTGACAGTGGATTAATCTCTCTGTTGTAGAAAAGGGAGGAAGTTGCCCCGATTCTTTTCCTGGCGTTTCCAGAACAGCCCTGGTTCTTGGCAGAGAGCACTTGTGAATTATCGGAGGCCCTTCCCGATGGCAAGAGAGGACAGGGAGGGGTTCTTCGAGATTACTGGTTAATTAAAGGAAGCCTTGGGTTGAGGAGTCCAGAGGAAAAGTAGTCCCATTATTATTCATCTGCAGACAGACTCGTAGCTGAGCACGGTGACGTGGCGGCCATGTTGAGAACCACAGTTGGGTGAAAAAGTTGGCATTATGGGCCTGTGACTGGCTGTGTGGCTTCCCAGGCCAGCGATGGCTCTGTCCCACCCTTCCTTCTGTCCAGCTCCCTCATCGGGGTTGGGGGAGTTGTGAGGGCTCAGAGCGGAGCCAGCACAGACCCGGCTACCATATCAGCAGTAACAACACATGTGGCCTCTGGCCAGTGTTGACCAGGGTGGACGAGGGTCCCAGACAGAGCTGGATCGGGACTGAGTCCTGAGCAAGCAGAGGCTGCTGGTGCCGTGTGCACACGGGGCCCCCCTGTGGCCCCCGTGGAAACAGTGCTTGGGCAGGGCTGGGTGCCGCTTCTGGGGCTTTCTCTGCACCTGCAGACACCCTGGACAGCGGGTTTGAAATGCATATTCAGATTGGCTGGTGCCATGGCTATAACATGGGTTTGTCCCATCCTTGTAGAGAGGTTGCATAAAAAGAAAGGAAGCCAATTGCTTTTTACACTAGGCCATGTAAAAGGTTCTCCAGCTGTATCTGTTTTCCTGAATTTTCTTTCTCTAGAAGTAACACATGAAGCATAAAGGTCGATGTTTAAAAAAAAAACAAACATTGAGATGAATGAAGGTCATCTCAAACATGGGACACCATGAGTTTTTCCAGTGACTGTGGATGACAAATGAGTCCAGCCCCTCCTCAACCCTCAGAAGAGCAGGGGACAGCATTTATTAGGAACAGCTCAAGACAGGGTTGGGGGATCTCTGTACAGAACAGACTAGATGAACTTATATATTGTGTTAGCAAATTTGTGTACCAAATTACCACTTTTCACTCTAAATTTATAGCACCCACAGTCTCTCTACTATTAACTTGGTAATTAATCACCAATAGACCTGTCAGATCTTTACCACTGTTACCTCGGTTTCTAATGCTGCCTTGTATCCTTATTTAACCATCAGTGTGACTTGACTTTTGTAAATATTTGGCATGTCTGCACAAGTGGACTGCAAACTATCCAAGCAGGAAAATCCTGGTGTTGCGATTCCTTTAATGCAGTGTGTTAAGGAACTACACTCCTCTTCCCTCACCAAAAGTTGCTTGGTGTTGTTCAAATATAAAGTTTTGTTATAGTTGAAATCCCTAATGCTAGATCCTGGAAACCCTCTTGAAGGGGAAGGTATCTGGATTATGAGTTAGATACAACCAGATTGAGGAAAGGTTTGCTCGTTCATTGTGTTTGGGAATGTTCATCCTCCTTTGCCCTGTAAGTTTGTGAACAGACATCACTATGGAATCCGGGCTTGGGTAGGGGTGTGGAGGGCTGGGTAGCAAGGGTCCCATAGGGTATAAACCTTGAAACAAACAGAGCTGCTATTGGCTGTCTATGTTAAATACACAGCAAGCTAAAACAAGATGGGCCCAGGAGGGTAGGCAAGTACCTGTGAGATGGGCTGGAAATGGCCTTAGAAGAACAGGTAAAATCTAAGCACTTTCCTGGAAACTGACCCAACAGGGTAGGGAGAAATGGGTTTAGCCAACCTACAGCTGTGGCTGTAGAAACCTCTAGGAGATATGAAAGTGCTTGCAAAGGATCTTCAGACCTTCTAAATGTCTTTGGAGCCAGGGTAGCAGCACTGCCCTTGACCAAAGACTGAAAAAGTTTTGGGGTACAACTTTAGTGCTACTCACAGAAATAGGAACCGGGGCCACCTACCCAGAGAAAAGGCTCAAGATAAAGTTCTAGAAAAGGAGAAGAATCCCTCCAAATGTAGAGCCGGGCTGCGGGGGAATGCAGAATCATAGAAAAATAGGCAGTTAGTGTGTAAATGAGCCTTTGAACTCTGTAACTGCTGGATTTTGCAATAAGGAAACTCATAGAAGATGGGGAGCGACTTACCTCGAATGAATTAGAGGCAGAGCTGGGGTTAGAATCGTTCGTATGTTACACATTGATTCGAAAACATCTACAGGGCATGTGGTGGTAACGAGGTGCAGTTCTAGGCCCTCGATCCGGGTTCCCTGACCTGTAGACCTGTGCTGTTCCCATCTCGGGGCCTCCTACCTTGAACTAATTCTGAAAGGCACGCCCGGCATCAGATGCAGACAAGGATGGGCCCACAGATTCCCAAGATAAGAAGCCAGGCTCCCTCCCAGATCTGAGAGAGGAAGGTTAAGTTAAGGAAGGAGCAGCAAAACTAGTTTCACTGATTAAATTGCCAGATACCAGCACAACTTAGCATTTTAAAAGTTTATGACTCTATATCTGTGTTGACCTTTACCCAAGATAGTTACTTGGAACACAAACTTTTAAAAATGGAAATGAGCTTCTGTACCTTGTGAATATATGAAAATGAGGGAGATGTTGGGGAGGGAAGATGCCACTAAGTAAAGAGGGATTTGCCAAGTGCTGGGTCCCTTCCTGAGCAGGACTGAAGGTGATTCTCTATCTAGTTCTGTCGGGTAGAAGACAGTCCCTGTCCCACTAGGTGCTGATTGAACTCCTAGAACTTCTGCGCAAGACGTGCCCCATTCTAGAAGGTTCTGCCTTTCCTGGGAAAGAACAGAAAACTACAGAAACATCTTGGCTTCACTACCTCAGGCCTGGGAAACCTTGCCTGTGCTAATAGCAGCAGTAGCTGATGCTTACCGAGGGCTTTATGTTCTTGGCACTGTTTATCTAGCTAATAGCCCTGTGAGATGGCCAAGGGAGGTGTTATTAGTCCTATTTTGCAGGTGAGGCAACTGAGCTCCGGGGAGATTGCTGGGCTGGGCTAGATCACAGAGTTGACTGCAGGAGAGCCAGGTTGGAGCCATCCTAGTGTTCAAACTCCAATTGGTGGCTTCTTCCGCTGTGCAATGCTGCTTTCCCTGAGGGTGGGGAGGCCATCCAGCTTAAAATCTGTTTGGGGACAGATACACATCAAGAACATCTTGCCTGGCTCCTGGGTTTGAATGCAAATGAGAAGATGCTAGGTGGAGCCATTGCAAGGTGATTTCAGTGGGTTCATCTGGGGGACTCAGGAAGCCTGGAGATTTTTCCTGGGTTGCATTCCTAGTCTTCACTGGGTCACATTTTCCCCATCACAAAGAATATACACTAGTGATGACGGTACACTGTTCAATATGAAGAAATTGCTAGAAAAATTAAAAATAAACCTTTCACTAGGTGTTCTTGGTTCTTTCCTTTGATCCCAATGAGTTTCCGGTGAGTCTGGGTCATTCTGTAACTGCTGGGATAGTCCCAATACCCTCAGGGCTGCAAACAAAAAGTGACAAGACATGGATGAGCCCTGGTCATTGTATTTTCCTGGGAATTGTGGGCACGTGAGTGACTGTACCTGGCCTTGCCTTTCAGAGCTGCCAACTTCAGGAACTTCACCTTCATCCAACTGAATGGAGAATTTTCTAGGGGCAAGGGACTGGACGTCGGCGCCCGCTTCTGGAAGGGGAGCAATGTCCTTCTTTTCTTCTGTGACGTTGACATCTACTTCACCTCTGAATTCCTCAACACGTGCAGGCTGAATACACAGCCAGGTGCGGGGCCTCTCTGCTCACCCTCGGGTGCCATTCACCTGTCTTGCGCTCGTGTGTCATTCTCTTCACAGTTTGCTGTGGCATCCTCCTCAGCTAGCTCCTTTTACCCCATTGGCAAAGAGAAGGAAGAACACCTGGTTTGATTTCTCCTCTGGGCCCATATTATGGACCTGTCGGCCACCACAGTTCTGGGACTCTTTGTCCCAAGTTCACGTTCATGACCCCTTTTTCATCTCCAGCTGGGAGGTCAGCGTTGGTGAACATCCACAGGAGAAAGTGTGGTGGGGAGGGCATGAACTTGGAAAAGCTGCCCAGATGTAAAGAGAAAAGAGTAGCCATGGGCAGGTACCCAGGGCAGAAGGGCTCTGAGCAGAAAGAACCCCCAATACGGAAATTATATTTATAGACTTGACTCATGGGCAAGGTTGACATTCAGCTGATAATCGCTAGCGTGATCATGTCAGTTATCAAAATATAGAAATTCGTCTGTGTGAGTTGCTCTTTAGCAACTGCCCTGGGCTGTCCCCATCATCACCCTGGCAGCCTTGGAGACCACCCACGAGCCAGCAAGTTCAAGGGTTAGTGTCTGGCGGGGCAGGGAGCAGCACCAGGACTTTGCACACCCACTCCCATTGGTTGGTGCCCAATGCTGGAGCCACTGACCGTCAGTATTTCAAATATTATTCCTGTGCTGGGAGGTCGGAAATATTTGAGAATCTCTCTGGTCTGCCTTGTGCTGCACTTCTAAGACCTATTGGAGGGTTGAGTGGAGAGAAAAAGAAAAAAATGATGCAAATGCAAATATCTGGGGTGTTTCAGAAAACTGAATGTCAACGAGCAAACCTCATTGTTGTATCTGTCACTTTGAGCAAATGTTTGCCTTCCGGTTTGCAGGGAAGAAGGTGTTTTATCCGGTCCTTTTCAGCCAGTACAACCCAGGCATAATATACGGCCATCACGAGGCAGTGCCTCCCTTAGAGCAGCAGCTGGTGAGTAATTATCCCACCGATGCCCTCGTGTCGCTGTGTAGCGTCTTTCATTACCAGGGGCAGCTGACCGTGAGCACAGGTGAGTGGGAATCTGTGAGATGATCCCCTTGGTAGTTTTTTTTTTTTTTTTTTAGTTTGGCAAATGTGTTAGCCTTTGCTCCTAGTGCCTTGTTGATTAAAAGTTCTTGCAATATTTAAAAGTGGAAAATAAATGGGAACGGTACTTTGCCGAAAGGTAATTTCACACCTTCATAGTTTCTTCTATGGTTTTTGGAAACTAGTATTAATATTATTGCATTATGGATGCAGTGCATTTTCTCTTTATTACAAAATCCTACAAGGTGAGAAGGGGGGAGTTTTATGTTCCCATGTGTCAGATGGAAAACGGAAATCAGAAGGGTGGGTTGACCCAGTGACGGCCAGATGCAGTTGTCTGGACCACAATTCTCTGTCCCCTTCGCATGGCGCCACAGTCCCACACATCTAGGTGCCACAGGTGCATATTAGCATCCAAGGTGTCACAGCAAGGTGGTTTTCAGAGGAAGATTGGAGGGACCTCCCTGCTAAGCACTTGGCTGCGTAGGTGATGGATAGTTGAACCATGTGGCCCCCAAGGGTCCCTGTAAGCTGAGATGTCTCCATTGTCACAGGCAGCCCATTCTGCAGAGAAGCTGTAATGGGGTAGGAGGAGGCAGCCAGCCAGACTAGACTCTGCGCCGCGTAGACGCACCCATGGGAGACAATGGGGGAGATCCCATTATTGCTGCCGGCACTGACAGAGAGAAGACCCTTCACCCACCCCAAGCTCTGGGCTGCGATCTTTTCCTGCTCGGGGCTCATCTGGGTTTATCTAAAGCTGTGTGTGGCTCAGGCTGAATCTCAGAGGGTTGCTTTTGTCTAAAGGCCGTGTGCCCTTCCTGGCTTTGGGCGGCTCTGCCTCCTGTTGGGTCAAAGCCATGCTTCTTCCCACGGTGTACCTCGTAGGGTGGAGGAAGGACATCTGCATGAACCTGAAGATGTCATGTGACCAAGTGTCCCATGTTTCTGTGCAGTCGGGGAGAGTAAACTGATTTCCACTGAAATCACTTGTCTCCTGAAATTCTCTCTTGGAAATCCGACTGTGCTTAAGCTTCCAGAAGCAGCAAAACCTGTTCTGTCCATCCCATCCTGTGGCCTTTGCCCTCCCTCTGCCTGCTAACCCCGGGCAGCTGATGCAATGGTACTTTCCAGAGAGTTTCAGTTTTGAGTGTCTTCAGGTTGGACAAGGTTCATCTCTCACCATGTCCTGGCATGATTTCTCTTTCGGCTCAAGCCAGACAGTACACTCAATAACATAGCTTCCTCTTCCCTCCATGAAATTGTAATACCCAGATACACTGTGTATCTGTCTGTGTGCTACATGTATATCTCTGCTTTGTACACCAAAACAGAGTTTTTCACTCAAACCATTCTTTTTCGTGGGGCCCTGCGGGGGTCAGACACCCACAAACCAGCCCTGCTCACAGGCTGGCCAGACCCAGCCTCAGCTCTTGGGGGAGACTCTCTTTGCTGTAGAGGCGATACTCAGGCAGAGTATTTGTTATTTTGTTTTATTTTCGGGTCCAGATTGCCTCGCGGGCAGCTGTCCAAGTTGGCCCCATTAAACCAGCCAGGCGCTGACGGCCGCCCCGGCTCCCCACGCCTTTGGGGAGAGATGCTCATCTGTGCTTCGTGTTTGGTCCCGATAGAAAATAATCACCCCCGTCACGTGAGTCGCCCACAGAGCTGGGGCTCTGGAAACTTCCTGTGGGAGAGCAGGCCTGACAACTGTCCTTTTGTGGTGTGTTCGTGCCCTGCAGGGCTCTGTGGAGCTCTCGGGTGGGGACAGAGGGACCCTGCGGGGACAGCTGAGAGGCGGCCAGCCATCAAAAGACTTTTTTAAAAAAAAAAATGAGGGTAGAGCTTGAAAACAGATCAGGGGAATCTAGGGCAGGAGGAAGAGATGCTTTTCTTTTAAAGTATAGTCTTTGTCGTGAGGTTTCTTCTTCCCCTGTCCTGGCAGACGCCCTGTCATTGGTATCTGTCATTTTAATGCTTGCACAGAACAATGGAGCTCCTTACGCCTGGGGCAAAGTTTCTAAGAAGTGAGGCGCTCTGCCTCAGACCCCAGGCAGGTGACAACATTTTTGTCTGTTGGGCCAGAGCCACACAGTTCTGAGAGTTGGCCCCCCTGGGCCACTTGCTGATATCTAGCTCCTCTTCGCAAGGTGTCTGTTTTTACTGGCTCCGAGCCATCTCTGCCCTGGGACTGCTTCCTGCCCATTCCCTGGGGGTGTATTTATTGAGTGCCTGCTGTGTGCTGGACAGGGTGCTGGGTGCTGTGGATGACAGCAGGTCCTGAGCATCCGTTCACCCATGGTGGTGGGTGAAGATAGTCAGCGATCAGGAAAACAAATGTATGAACGGTGTCATTTCAGAGAGCCGTCATTGTTGTAGAGGAAATAAACCAGGGCGACAACGTAGAGAGTGGCGTTGGGGTGTTGGGTGCAGACACTGGCCGGAAGGGTCAGGACGACCACTCTGAGCAAGTGACATCAGAGCAGAGCCGAGAAGTGAGCAGGAAAGGGTGACCCAGGCAATGGGGACCGCAAGGGGCGGCTGGAGACCCTGAGGGGCAGAGGGACGAGCAGAGATGGGATGGCTGTGACAGGCGGGGCCGGGTCCTGTAGGGCCACGAGGCTTCCTTGTGGGTTCCTTGGAACTGCACTGAGCCTCTCCAATGGGAAGGTGACATGCTCAGATGTACGCTCGCCTCTAAACTGCACAACAGTCAACATAAAAGACAACTTCTGTGGCCAAATGTGGGGCTTTTCCCCGCACACACCAAGCAGCGGACACCAGCGGGGGCGTCATCTAATTTAATTCTGACACTTGTCTACCCAGAGGTGGTGTCAGATCCCACAGATTGAGGGCTCAGTCCCCAAGACTGACCCATCCTTTCCGCTAGTCACGAGTCCTGGCCTCCAGAACTTCTGACTGACTGGCTTCAAATTGGGGTTTCCGTGACCGCCCCCCCCTTTGGGTTTGGTTAATTTGCTAGAGCGGCTCACACAACTGAGGGAAACATTTAACAGGTTATTAAAAAGGATACAGGTAAACAGCCCGATGGAGAGATAAACATGTAGGGTGAGGTCTGGAACAATCCGAAGCTCGGGAGCTTCTGTCCCCATGGAGTTGGGGTGTGTCACCCTCCTGGCACATGGATGAGTTCTTGTTCACTTTCCTGTCTACCTTTCCGGTCACCCTTTCCTGCTCACTTCTCGGCTCTGCTCTCCGGAAGCTCTCCAGACACCCCACCCTTTGGTCCTTTCATGGAGAGACTTCATTGGCTTCCCATGACTGGACATGGGACAACCGTGTCGAAACGTGACTAGACAAAAAGTGCTTGATCTAAACCCAGCAAGGCCTGTCTGCTTCAGATTCTGGCCTCTCTGTGAGGTGTTCCTCCCGAGTACAGGGCAGGACCCTCTCTGGGATGAGGGTCTTTTGTCCACAATCAGATTAGAGTCTTGCCTGGAGCAGAAGAAAGGAAGAAGGGAAAAGTGAGAAAGAGATTCTGTTTCCTGAGGCCTGAAGGTCCCCAGCGTTACAGTATAACAAGGACTATGGAGTTGTAAGCCAGGAACCGTGGACAAAAACCAAAACATGCATCCTAACGCCACAGCACCTCTAGGACGTGGACTCCATCTTGCCCTGAAACGACACGCTCAGGGCACGACCCAGTCGGTTTCCACCAACGGCTAAATTTCAATGAGCTCTTCTGATAGTGGCTTTTTGTGGCTTTGTCAACTTTAAAACTGACTTTAATAAGTGTTTCTGTAGCTCATTCCCTAGCTCATAAATCAGTTTGTCTTTGTCGCACCGTTCCCATGAGGGTCACCCTTCACCTTGCTCAGCCTCGTCAGATGCTACGTTGTCTCGGCGCAGAGTCTAGGGACGGCTTCCTCGGCCATCCCTCTTGTCTCTCTTCCCAAGCCCTGGTCGATGATGTTTCCTGTTTGGAGCATTCTTTTGAAAATTCCACGTATACTTCAGCCAAATATTTGAAGTTGGGATACTGGCATTTCTCCTTGACTCCCTTTTGATCCAGAAGCTTGGGGAACTTGCCCGTGTCCTGGCCGGCAGGAGGGATATTGAGCCATTCGCTGCGACAGAAATGGTATATCTGGTGGTATAAGACAGGGATGCAATGAAATCCATGTTTAAAAAATGACTCAGTAGAGACTTTTCCAGACTTTCTTTCTTTGCAAAGTCTTTCTAGCAGATGCTAATGAAATTATCTTGTCCTTCGGGAGATACTGTGTAACAGTCCTTTGCTCCGATGTAGAATTGGCAAAACATCTGCTAGGGACAACTTTAACCAACTGAACCTCTCCTGGTCCATGTTTTCCTTAGCCCCTTTTGATGGGTGTTAACAGTTGCATAAGCAACATCTACAGGGAGGTTTTGCAGGTTACAGAGTAAAAGGATATTTAAGATTCATTAACCCTTCTGTGAGCCATTTGTCAAATATAATTAGCCAGTGATAAAACTTCAGGAAGGCGGAGTAAGTGATATGATGAATGTTTGGACGCAAGAGCTGGATTAGGAGCGGGTTCACTCAACCCATTTTATTGGGAAAGAAAACAGAGGCTCGAAGAAGGGAAGGCAAAAAAGCCAGTGGTCAAGTTGGGACAAGACGCTGGTGCTCTTGCCCCCTCACATGCTGGTTCTAATTAGCGGGGCACAGAGCCACACGTCCCCAACGGAAGACACAGATATCCAAGGGACTGGCTAGAACACCCCCCTTCCCTGGGGCAGGGGATGTCCTTTTGTCTAAGCACCTAGGTTAACAGTAGGAACGAATCGTGAAAGATAATTAAGATCTCAAACCCAGAGTTATCCCAGCCACAAAATACGTATGTATATAAATAGTGTGAAAGGCGGCTTCAGCAGCTGGATGGGAAAGGTGCTCGCAGAGGCGGCGGCTGAGCGCTGCTTGGATGGCCTCTCTGTAGCCCTACAGGCTGGCACCGCCGCAGATCTTTTGGGAGCAGTTTGGTTTTTAAATAGCATCAGGATGAATGGTCAGTCTTTCTCCAGAACCTAGACTTTCAGTGCCCTCTTTCCCAGCGAGCGAGAGCCGAGCAGGAGGGCCGGGGACATGCCGAAGTCCCTCCCGTCTCTTTTTATTCCCCGGGCGAGTGCTGTACCTGCGCCACGCCAGGCAGCTGAATTCCGAGTTGTTCTCTAGCCCTTTTCTCAACTTCCTGAGCCCTTTGCTGGCCCCTGTGCGACGGCCCGGCGGCCTCCGGTTCTCCCTGGCACTGGGGTGGGGCCAGACGCGGAGGTGGCTTTTCCATGGCTCTGCTCAAAAACTTGCTCTCCTGGTTTGTTTTTGATTATGCGTGTGTGTGTGTGTGTGTGTGTGTGTGTGTGTGTGTGTGTGTTCGTTGCCTACACCCTAGAAACATTCCAGCCAGAGGTGCCAAAAATCACAAGGCCCGGTTTGGGGACGGGTGCGTTTACTGTATGCCTGAGCGTAAGGAGCTGTGACCGTCTGCGCGTCCCCGCGTGGTTGTGGCTGCTTGGCGGGGACGGGACCGGCTCTGTGCTTTCTGCTCACGTGAGTGTGCGAACACTCCCTATTTTTGGCCACTGTGTCCTTCCCCCTCACATGGCAGTGCTTTCCTTGCAGGTCATAAAGAAAGAAACTGGATTTTGGAGAGACTTTGGATTTGGGATGACATGTCAGTATCGCTCGGACTTCATCAACATAGGTGAGGCGACGCTGCGTCTCTGCTGCCACCCAGAGGCCGCCGGGCTCTGCAGCCCTTGGAGGAAACGAGCAGATTTCCAGTGTGGTGGTAAAAGTGGTGCCGTTTCCTTTAAAAATAATAATTATTATTATAATTAAAAATGCTATTCCAGAGGTCATGGACTCAGGGCTGGACCCGAGGGGATTTGGGAAGTTGGGAGGGGCAGCACTTTAGCCCCTATAATCTCCTCCAGCACCTCTCGGTCACCCGAAATAAGACACGCAATCTGGGATAAAAAGGCAGCTCGTCCCATAAAAGCGGCTTTGCAGCAAGTGGTCCGGGGCCGCCTCCTAGCTGGGTCCTGGCCGCTGAGCCCTGTCCACGCAGGACAGCCTGAGCGTCCCGGGAAGGGTCAAAGGGACACACAAAACTCCAGATGTCACTTCAAGACCTGAGTGTGCGGTTGCTGTCGGTACACACGTACATGCACGCAACGCATACACGCACTCGCATGCACCTGCGAGTTTCCAGAGTACAGAGAGGAAAAGGCCCCCGGGTTGCAGCTGGGGACCAAGCCTTTCAAAGGCAAAGGGACCTCCCCAGGCCTCACAGCACGTGAGGGGCACCATATGGATGAGAACTGAGCTCTCTTGTCCCCCTCGGATATCCCACAGCCCCTCCCCGTGGCAATACTTACTCGTGTGACCCTGAAGGGAACGGGGCTGTGGGTCACGCGTGACCAGGGTGTGAGTGAACAGGGCTCCGTGGAGCCGGGGCAGCACAGAGCTCCCTGTCCCCAGGCGCTGCCACCTCCCCTGTCTCCCGTGCTACTCCCACTCGGGCCCAAGTCCTAAAGCTGCTCATTTTAAAGTCAGGGAGGAGGAGCGGCCCCAGGTTTGTCTTGTTCAGAAATGACGCAGACTCCAGGGACTATGGATCCCTCAAAGCCATCCCTGGGTTAAAATGAAAAAAAAAAAATAAAAAAGAAAGAAAAAAAGGACTTGAAGTCCAGTCCCCTTAGAAGCCGCAGAGCACCCAGGGGGCTGATCTCCGAATGGTGGCTGCTCTGCAGGCACCCAGCGGCTAACAGCAGGTGTTCTTTGACTTCTTTAAGAGAAATATTCCTAAGCAATTACATGCAAGTTAAATTTTCCAAAAGAACATTTCTAAAAATTTTCTAACAATTCCCATTGCAAGAAACTGTTTCTTTGCTCTTGGTGCGGGGAAAGATGATTTTGCAATTGAATGTTTTTCTAATTTTATTTATATATTGGATTCTCCTAAATCTGGATGTATCTGTGACAAAAGTGAACACAGCAGGATGGGAAGGGTGCCCGTCCTCAGTAAGCCGTTGCCATGACCTCAGAACCTTTGGGGCACATTCTGACCCCATTCTTTGCAGTCTTGTACTTTGTGCAAGTGTCTTACTTGCGAACCTTGCATTTAATAAGTTATAATGATAATAAATCAATTGCGGTTAGCCAAGCACCGCCCCTAACTTGTTTGGTTAGGATATCTACTTCATTTAAGCAGGAAAATAACTAAAATTCAAGAGAACTGAAGTGGCAGATTCTAAGAGAACTAGGACACAAATTCTGGACCCCCGATTCCCATACATTTCTTTGCCCACCATGGAGGGGTCATGGTCACTCATATCAACAGCCAGGGGCTGGTTGGCTGTGGTTTTCCCTGGGCCTTGAACCCCCTTTTCAAGTTCTGGTGATGGCCCCGATCAGAGCAGTGCAGCTTGGGGTGTGTAAGAAAGCAACAGGTTGCATGAGGATGTCTGAGAAAAGATGTCGAGAATCACTCACTGTTTCTTTAAGAGTGAAATGAATTTCCTGGGAAAGAAAAAGGACAACAGAGGCCAGTTCCATCTGGGACCCAGTGGGCTTTAGGTTAAGAAAAGATGGTAGGGCATCTCAGCTTATAAAGGCGAGACTTTAGCAGGCCACGCCTGACTTTGTGAAGGAGTTCATTAGTAAGCGAAATAAGATTTTCTTTTTTGAGTAGAACATCAGAACTGACTCTGAGGCCAATCCCTTTAAAAAATGACTGACTTCCCCAGCCGCTGGTGAAATCACAGCTCTTTTAGCACCACTTAGGTCCGCGATAGGAAGAGAGGGCTTCGGTGGGACGTGACTCTTGCACCCTGAGATCCTCTTCACTCTGCCACGCTGCCAGTCTCAGGGTTCTGCAAAGCCAGGCAGAGGCCACATCCAAACAGAAACCCAAGAATTTGCCCTGGGAGGTTTCAAGTAGAAAAGTTGGGTTGCTGCTGAGCTCTTAGTGGGAGGCGAGGGTTCTTCATCTGCATTGCTGGTGGCTCTTTGAAGCAGGTAAATGCCTGGAATTTTGCTTGAGGTTTTGTTATCTCAGGTTGGTGCTGTCTGTCCCGAAGGCCATCTGTGTGTGGGAATTCCAGGGCCTCTGGCCTGGACAGCCACTCTGGTAACTTGGAGGGGCAGAGAAGCACACATGTCCCCCGAATGTCTTTTCGAGAAAGTTCCATGTTTGTGCGGCTGGGGGAGGCAAACGCAGAACAGGAGATGCCCGGGCAGCGTGACTCAACAGCGTGTTCTCTCCTGGCAGGTGGGTTTGACTTGGACATCAAAGGCTGGGGCGGAGAGGACGTGCACCTTTACCGGAAGTATCTCCATAGCAACCTCATAGTGGTGCGGACGCCCGTGCGGGGGCTCTTCCACCTGTGGCACGAGAAGCGCTGCATGGACGAGCTGACCCCCGAGCAGTACAAGATGTGCATGCAGTCCAAGGCCATGAACGAGGCGTCCCACGGGCAGCTGGGCATGCTCGTCTTCAGGCACGAGATCGAGGCTCACCTTCGCAAACAGAAACAGAAGACGAGTAGCAAAAAGACATGAACTCCCAGGGCTGGATTTGGGGAGAGACGCTGAAACTCTTTTTTGCTTTTGCAATGACCAAACAAGTGGCTGCGAAAAGGAAAAGACTTCCAAAAAGGGTGAGAAAAGAATTTGAGAGGAGAGAGCCTCCGATTTCTCTCTGGTTGGCTTTATGCAACAGAAATCAAAATCTCCACTTTGCCTGCAAAAGTTAGCCCAGTTGCACCCTGTGAAGTGTCTGACAAAGGCAGAATGCTTGTGAGATTATAAGCCTGATGGTGTGGAGGCGTTGATTGTGTTTACAACAAAATGAGAGCGATTGTTTTCTGTGCTCCTTGAAATGTTCGTGAATTAAGACCAGTTTTGTGCAAAGTTCATTAGAATGAAAGGCAAGCACATTGCTCCTCTTACAAATGGTCATCTCAGTAGGGCTCTAGTTTCCAGGAATGCTAAAATATCAGAGAGCAGAAGAGGAGACACGCTCGTCACAATCCTCGTGGGTATATTAAACAAAAGCAAATGGACCAGAAAAGAAACCATAAATATCGAGTCACCTTCTACCAAGATCAATGAAAAATAATCTCATCTTTTTGGTTGTTTTTAACCATCTCCAGTTTGCTTGTTTAAAAATGCACTTTTTTTTCTTTTTTCCGGCTTGTGAGTTATATTCTGCTTAATTAATTACCAATCTGCAAGCCTTACATCAGAGCACAAGTTAGCTTACATTTTTATATTTTTTTAAGAAGATACTTTTAGATGCATTATAAAAACTTTCAGTTCAGAGCATCAATATTGATACCACATCCAAGGACATGCCAAATGCTGATCCTGTGGGACACTGAATACAGAGCTGGCGACACGTGGAAGGCGTGGTTTGGAACTATAGATTGACACAGATGGATACTTTATCTGAAGACTGTCTCTGGAGAGGGGCAACTGAACGCTGGAGGAAAAGAAAAGGACCCTTTTCACTTTACCAGGAAAGGAAACTCATTTTAGACCGGCGATATCGTGATGTTATTTACAAGTCGGGAAACACATTTTCTCCTTAGATATGGGGACCACTTTCTTACCTGTTCAAATAAACCAAAGTATACTGTGTGAACCAAACAATCTCTTTTCAAAGCAGGGTGCTCTTCCTGGCTTCTGGCTTCCATAAGAAGAAATGCAGAAAAATTTATTTTATGAAAGATCAATTCTTCTGCCAGAGTCTGGTGGGATAGAAGATTTTGCTACATGTTCATCCATCCACCCTGGGGCTAGGTGGAAGTAACTGAATTATTTTTTAAATTAAGCAGTTCTTCTCCTAAATCACCAAGATGCTTCTGATAATTGCATTTTATTACAGTTTCAAAGTATTTTTTAAAAATACAGTTAACGGATCGGTTTCTACATTCATGTGAAAATTATTTATTTATTAGCCAGCACCAGATGCATGAGCTATCTGATTCCTTGCCTTCTGTTTGCCCACAGTAAACTCATTGTTTAAAAGCTTCAAGAACATTCAAGCTGTTGGTGTATTAAAAAATGAATTGTATCGATTTGTACTGGTAGTTCATAAAACTTAATTAAAACACAGGACTTGAATGGAAGGTGGTATTGCACAGCTAATAAAATATAATTTGTGGATATGATAATTTCTTGGAGTAAGAATGGCATGTTTTCAATTTTTGGAAAACAGTATTTTGTGCACAGACCAGGGTTTCTCAACCTTGGCACTACTGATGTTTTGGGCTGGACGACTCGGCTGTGGGAGACCGTATTGTGTGTCGTAGGATGTGCCAGGAAGCACTGAGTCTTGGCGTGGCTAAAGCCCTTTCCAACTCTGCATACTCTCTCTGTTCCTATAAATTGCCTAGTAACCAGCCTAGGTCATCTTACTGAGCTGGGGTCTCTAAGATATGGGGGTTTCCTCCCAGCAGTAGTGTGCTACTACAGCCTCCTGGAAGACAATTAGTAGTACTTCTTAATCCTCAGATTGGTAGCTTGAAATCAACCAGGGTGGGAATATTTACACCATAGAAATTGGCAAACAGTAAACCTTAGAAATCGGGCCTTCCCTTGCCCTGTTGCATCGTTAAATAAATCTTACCAGGGTTTGGTAGTACAGTGTGGTAGCTAATATCGTGGTTTCTCCAGCCAGACAACCTGGGTTCAAATTCCAGTTCTTTCACTTGCAACTGACATGATCTTAAAGGAGCCACTCAATGTCTGTGTATCTCAGTTTCCTCATTCAGAACGATAAATGCAGTCACTGCTATATCATATAATTGTTGTAAAGATTAAATGAGTTTGTGTGTGTGAAGTACTTAGGACATGAGAGGCTCACAGCAGGTGTCTGTGTCCAGCTATCGGCATTTGACACGTCCTCATTTACGACTGTGTAGCTGGCAGTGTCTGTTAAGCGTCTCAGTGTGCCCAGGGCTGCTTGGATAAAATCAGAGGGCCATTATGGGCCATATAGTCCAGATTATGAAACCATCACATGACCCTGTTGTCCTTTGTTTTTGTCATTCTGAAAACTATCTGAAGGAGGTTATTAGGAGTGTGAAATATAATGGATAATTTCTACCTTAAATTCCAAGCTCAGCCATTGGAGTTGATGGCCCCCAGGCAGCTGGGAGGCATTAGAGGTTTTCAAAGAAAGGAGAACAGCAAAGAACCTCATATTCAGGACCCCAACGTTCTAAGGTAAGTAATATCACTACTTCCATTGTCCACGTGCAGAAACGGAGGCTCAGAATTAGCAATGAACTTGTGCAGAGGCTGAGCCAGCAAGTGGCTGGCTCCATGGCTCACGTGGCATCTCCATCGTGTGGCCAGTTCCAGATGGGCTTGGAAGGTCTGGGGCGAAGAGCTTTAGCTCAGAGTGAGTCCAAGGCCTGACCTCTGTTCCTCAGTTTCCCACTGTTTCTCTGCTTTCCAGCCCTGCCCTGAGAAATCCCCTGATGAGGAACAAACACTGTTGAACATAGCGATCCAAGAACAGTTAACCCGACCGGCTCCCTCTGGCCTCTGTGTAGTTAACTACCAGTGGCGTCAGGGCTCCACGTGGGATTGGACCCCCGACGTTACATTTAAAGACTGTCTTGAGTGGGAGGAGACAGCAGGTGGGAATACTTACTTTTAAATAAAAAGACTTGATATTGTTCCTGAGAACTGCTGATTAGACATAATGACCCTGGGCAGTTCCTTCACGAGGCTGGGGTGTTTTACTCCCGGCACACATCAAATAACTGGCAGCTCTGTGTGATCCATATTCCGATTAGCTTTATATTTTAATTCAAAGCTGTTTCTCCTGGCAGGGCTCAGTGCTTTGCTGTTGCTGCCAAAAACTATGGGGACTGTGCCAGCTGCTTGGGGCGGGGCGGGGCGGGAGGGGGGCGTTGCTGGTGGTTTTTTCCAACATACAGAATCTGTTCTTTCTTGTCATTAGAAGTGCCTTTCAAACTCTGCATTACTGGTCCTTTGAACATGCCCTCTGCAGTAGCCGAGCCCAGTGTCTCCTCGGCTGGGTCTGGCTTTGCTGTTCTCACAGGAAGACGGACAGAACAGTAACGGGGGGAGAGGGGGGGGCTGGGGAGGGTCACAGCCCAGGGGGGAGGGCAAATCTCGCCCTGGAGGGAGAAGCCAGGCTGTGCTCATTCATATCCCCGGTCCAGCTCCCACGGTCACCCCAGCATTCCAGAGAGGGCCAGGACACCCACAGCAACCTCTGCCCAGGACGCACCAAATGTCCTTCAGCCGGCGTGACACTCGGTGAACTGATATGATTCTTCTTCAACCTGAGAGTCAGACACTTTAGCTTGAGGGAAGTGCAGCCTGCCAGGCAACTCCCCCCTCCTCCACTGTACCCCACCCCAGCTTCTACCCCACCACCAACCCCCCCTCTAACCCCAAGGGCTTAAAAAAACGCCAACACTAAACATCACCTGGACTGCCAGGATATTAAATCCCACTTGAAAAGCCTAAATCAGCATTTAAAAGAAACTCCAAATTCAAAGAAAAGGCGATGGAAAGTATAATACTTCATCTTTTTTCCAGTTATTAGCCTCAAACGGAGCCATGTGAACGTCACGCCACAGCATGTGAGGCTGCCAGGAACCGCAGGGAGTGCCCGGGCAGGAACTTCTCTAGGGGCCCGCCATGCTGCCGGGAGAGCACCCCCAAAGGTAAGGCCTTTGCCATTCTGTTTTGGTACTGGGATCTTGACTGTGTTGGTGGGAGACGTCATTGGAGGACATCTTTCCAATTGAGGGGATTAAAAGCTGATTGGACTGACAAGCTTGGGGGCTTGCCCCTGCCTCTCAGTTTGTCTCCACGTGGTCTGCCTGACCTACCTGGGAGACAGGTGCAGCTAGTCCAAAGGGAGGTGGGTTTGCAGTAAGTCTTCTGGTCAAAAAGGGGGCAATGGGTGAAGATCTGTGGTCAGGAATTCCAGAGGAACTGAGCCGCTTTGTCATGGCCAATTTGAGGATAAAAGCTGGTTCCTGCCAACTTGCGGGGTTGTCAAATCAGACATGAGCAAATGCCCCCCCACACAACACCCTCTGTGCCAGTTCAAATCCAAACCGAGTGAGCTGTTTCTTTGCAGGTCATCGTTAGATCCCTTACTCTTGAAAAGTCTGCCTTTCCCTTGAAAATTCACCCCAGAAAGTCTAGGAAATGGGCATTAGGATAGGCAACCATTGGTTACGTTAATTGCGTTGATAAAGGGAAGCCCAGATGCGCAGATCCTGACTTTGTTGAACCCCCAATCCTCTAGTAATACTTTTTTTATTTTTTGAGACAGTCTCACTCTGTTGCCCGTTGGAGGCTGTGGCATCAGCCTAGCTCACAGCCAACCTCAAACTCCTGGGCTAAGCGATCTCTGCCTCAGCCTCCCGAGTAGCTGGGACTACAGGCATGCGCCACCATGCCTGGCTAATTTTTTCTATATATATATTTAATTGTCCAGCTAATTTCTTTACTTTTAGTAGAGAGGGGGTCTCGCTCTTGCTCAGGCTGGTCATAAACTCCGGACCTTGAATGATCCTCCTGCCTCAGCCTCCTGAGTGCTAGGATTACAGGCGTGAGCCACCATAGCTGGCCTCTAGGAATACTTTTAATTACCATTTATGGGGCACTTTCTCTAGGCCAGGCACTAAATAGATTTCTAATCCTCAGAACTCGGAGGACTTTAGTAACTCCTGTTTTAGAAATGAACAAGCTAAAGCTCAGTCTTAGTCATCTTTTATGATTCCACTTAGCTATTAATAGTTGATAGAATAGGGAACCCAGAGGTTTGGGTTCTGGCTCTACCATCAAGCTACCTCATTGTCTAACAATGATTTTACCACCTATTAAAACAAGGGCGCTTTTCTTATTTAATCCTCCTGATAGATAGCTTTCAGGCTGGGGCAGCCATGGGGCATAATAGACAAATCTGGGACAGAGTAGCTGGAAGGTTTTTCTTAATCTCCCATTTTTTACCTTTTCACGACAGTGGTGGACCATGTAGCAATGAATGGGTGTATCATATGCATTGGGTTCCATAATTACACCATATTAGCTTTCTGGGGCTTCAGTAACAAATTACCATGAACTCGGTGGCTTAAAATAATATAAATTTATTCTCACAGTTCTAGAGGCCTGAAATCAAGGTGGCAGTAGGGCCATGTGGCTTTGAGGCTGTAGGGAGAGGCTGTTCCAGACCCCACACCTGGGACTCCCTGGTGTTCTCTGCCTTGCAGCTGTGCCACTCCAGTCTGGCTCTGTTGTCCCAGGGCCACCTTCCCTCTGTGTGATCTCTCCACTTGACTACATCTGCAAAGACCCCATTTCCAAATAAGGCCACAGTCGCCAGTATACGGGGTTAAGACTTCAATATCTCTTTTGGGAGAACACAACTCAACCCCCAGTAAATAGCATCCAAACAGTGCACTTACCCTGTTCCTGTCTACACAGCGCTAATAACGCCTTACATAAGTACGTGCTTCGTCCTTTTTGGCGCATTCTTGGGGACAGCCCGTACTGTCCCCACTCTCCAGCAGGAGGAAACAACCTCACATACCCGTGTGCTTTCCTACCGTCCACATGTGTTTTTGTCCACATTATGCCTCATGTCCTACGTTTTAAAACTTCTCCAATTTAATTCGCGGCTCCTGTTTTCCTGGGGCTCTCACATCCTGGTTCCACTGTGCACAGTAAGGGACGTGTGTTTCACCCATCCTGCCCAGGGAAGGTTTTACCGCCAGCATTGCTAAGCCAGCAGGGAACTTCACGTAAACAGGACCCTGAGACCGCTGGAGACGAGAGGGTGGAGGGGCCCATCCGACAGTCCATACAAGAAAATGCTTTTGGAAGTATACCTTAATTTCTAAAAGGTTTCCATGTCATCTTTGTTCATTTTATCTTATACTTCGTACAATGATACCAGTCATGTTAGTTTGCGCCGAAACTGGGACGCTTCTCTTTCCTTCTGGAGTGCTTCTGAGCAAAGGCCATTTTCTCGTGATGTTAAACTCCAGCATTTGTTCAGAGGCAGAGTTCCGGAGGACTCTCCATCGAGACCTTCACTGGATCAGTACTGGTTCCACATGCAAATGTCGGTTTCAGTGGTGGCTGTCCAGGGGAAAGCCCAGTAAGAGGTTGCACACAGAGGTGGTCACTCGAAGAGCTCCAGGTAGTCAGGCAGCTGGTCCTGCTGCCCACAGGGGTGGAGAAGGAGCTCCTTGCCCAGGGAGGTGATGGGTTCCTCCTGCCAGGCAGAGGGCACAGGGTGAGAGGAATGACAACATGCCCTTCCCTACCTCCTTGGAGGATTTCAGTCCCTGCCCACCCTTGATTTACACAAACTTTTCTTAGTTTATGCCTATCTTAAGAGATTTTTCTCTTCCAAAAACCTTCATGTACTTGTTTTTCCTCCAAGCTCTAATTTAAGAGTGTTCTCAGAGATGATCAGAATGTACAGTTGTTCAGCATCTCCTGTAACCTCTGCCCCATAGAACTAGGTTCTATGATAACAAATGCAATTAAGAGTCCTGATTATCAAAAACTAACCTCCCTTTCATTTGTCTCTGTTTTCCTTTCCTTGCAACTGTTGCTACAGGACAATAATGCACCAAGCCTATTATGGATGGTCTCACCTTGTGATACTCCACCAGGTCCGCCAGGGTGGCGTGCTGCAGCTGGTCCACGCCCAGGAAGCTGTAGGAGTCCGTGGAGGCATCGATGAAGAAGTGTTTGCAGCCCTCATCCGACAGATAGGACAGGGCGTAGCCTTTGATCCTCTCACTGACCCGGATCAGAAAGCTGCCCGACCTGCCGGTACTCTGGAGCAGTTCGTTTGCTTTCTTGAGGGGGAGAATGCCTGGGGGAAGAAAAACGATGGGCATTTCATCTCCTGTTACATCCAGCTGTGTGGATCAAGTTTATGGGGAAAAAAAGAAAGTAATTTTAAGTGTAGTTTGGGCTTCTTAGGAATGTAGTAAAATATCCTTCTGGTACTTGGTTATGGGACAAGGGTAGGTTACATAGATAGTGTGAGTGACAGCTTAAATCTTTAACCTGAAGCAGATACATTTCCACTTCTACCCCCATTGATGACAGCACAGGTGTTGTATGGTTCGTGAGGGTCTCATAGGAGCCCTGCTGGTCACACGGGGAGGGTTAGGTCTGGAAGGGACATACAGATGCTGCCTCAGTTTACCAATGAGGACTCAGTGGCCTACAGGATAATTGGACTGGGTCTACAAGAGCAGTTTTTAACCACAACACTGCTGAGACATTCTAGGTGGTCATGGGTGGTCCTGGCGGGTAGAGGCCAGGGATGTTGCTAAATATCCTATTACACATAGGAAAACCCCCATCTACAAAGACTTATCCCACCCAAAATGTCAACAGTGCTGAAGCAAACCACTACCCAGGGTCTACAAAGTGCCTCCTACTGAAGCTGCTCTAGCATTTAAAAGAATAAAGTCTTCATATAAAATTAAATATAGTTTAGATGTCTCATGAATTCTTATTTCAGACCAGCCTTTTCCCCCATTAGTCCACACTCATGAGGTTTGACTCATAGTGGGAATAAGAAGGGAAATTTGGAACGTAACTCCTCAGGTGAACAGATAACCTCGTACAACATACAGAAACAGCACAAATGCTCATTCGGTGAGCCCTGACCAGGGAGAAGTAGTGCTGTCCTCCTGCCCTTTTTCCTTGCAGCAGATGGAGCTCCTGCCTTCCCCTGTTCCACAGTGAGCACCCTGCTAAAACTCAGGAAAACAAAGCAGAAACCAAAACCACCTCCTGGAAAGGCAATGGGTTATCCTAGCCCTTCAGTTTTAGTAAAGTTAATTGAGACGTGAACCCTAATTATGTAGAAAACATAAAATAGAATCACTTTCTGTTCTCTTTTCTGTGAATAGACCTTTAAAAAAGGGAAGATTTAAAGAATTGCCTGTTCGCCACCAGCCAAGCTCAACCCTCCCATGCCCCATGGAAGAGGATGCAGGCCCCGGGTCCTCACTGCCGAGTCCCAGTGTGTGAGGATCAGCCCAGTTTGGGACCTGGGGTAGTTGAAAAGGCCTGGCAGCTTTCCCCAGTCACAGATGGTCAATGCCCCTGCACTGAGGAAGCCCCCAGGCCTCTCTCCGAGGAATGGGGCTCTAGTGCACTGGGTCCCAGGGAGGTTACTGATGCACATATGTCATGTCCAGTCATCATTCTGCTCTTTCCCCTATAAAACTGACCCACTGGACATGCTGTCTGCAGCACTGATAGCCAGTGAGCCTCTTGGGTCAGATGCTGGACCAACTACTCAAGTGAGGGTAGAAGTTCCATCCAATAGATACAAGCTACTGCTTTTTCCCCAGAAAGCCACTTAAATGAGCTACTGCTTTTGTCTGTTTCACCCTCCTAAACATACCTAGTCCCACTGATAAATTACACAATAACCAGAAGTTGAAACAAGGTAAGAGGTACCAGCTTATGTGGGAACTGCACATGACAAAGGTCTGAAGACACTGTATTAGAGTGTCTATGAATCCAGGGATGTTCTTCACTAACACCAAAACACTGATGAAGGAAATCAGATGACACAAATGGAAAAACATTGCTCATGGATCAGTAGAATCAACATTGTTAAAATTTCCATACTACCCAAGGTGACTTACAGATTCAATGCAATCCCCATCAAAATACTAATCTCATATTTCACAGATTTAGAAAAAGTAATGCTATGATTCTTTTGGAACCAAAAATGAGCCCAAATAGCCAAAGCAATCTTGAGGTATCACGTTACCAAACTATATACTACAAGGCTATAGTAACCAAAACAGCATGGTATTAGTACAAAAATAGAGACGTAGACCAATGGAACAGAAGAGAACCCAGATATAAAACCATCTACCTACAACCATTTGATCTTTGACAAAGCAGATGATAACATACACTGAGGAAATATTCAATAAGTGGTACTGGGAAATTGGATAGCTACATGCAGAAGGAGGAAACAGGACCCCTCTTTCTCACCACTTACAAAAATTAATGCAAGATGGATAAAAGACTTAAATATAAGACATGAAATCATAAAAATTCTAGAAGAAAATGTAGGAAAAACTCTTCTGGATATGGGCCTATGCAAAGAATTTATAACTTAGACCCCCAAAGATAATTACAACAAAAATAAATGGGCCTTGATTAAATTTAAAGGCTCTGCACAGCAAAAGAAATATACTATAGAAGCAATAAAGGGCTAATATCCAGAATATACAAATTCATATCAGCAACAAAAAAACACCTCATTAAAAAGTGGACAAAAGACATGAACAGAAGCTTTTCAAAAGTAGACACATGGCCAACAAACAAAAATGTTCAATGTCACTAATCATGCAAATTAAATGCAAAATTAAAACCATAAAGAGATATCACCTCACCCCAGTTGGCATGACTTATTAAAAAGTCCAAAAACAATAGATGCTGGTATGAATGCAGAGAGAAAGGAATGCTTATACACTGTTGGTGGGACTACAAATTAGTACAACCTCTGTGAAAACCAGTATAGAGATTCCTCAAAGAACTAAAAGTAGACCAGCCATTTGATCCAGTCGACTACTGGGTATCAAAAGGAAAAGTCATTGTTTTATCAAAAAGACACCTGCACTTGAATGTTTATCGCAGTACAATTCACAATCGCAAAGAACGTGGAATCAACTCAAGTGCCCATAAATTCATGAATGGATCGACAGAATGTAGCATATATTAATATATACCATGGAATACTACTCAGCCTTAAAAAGAAATGAATTAATGCCTTCTGCAGTGACATGGATGAAACTGGAGACCATTATCCTAAGTGAAGTTTCTCAAGAATGGAAAAACCACCACCACAGGGGCTCTCTAATAATTTGGAACCAATGGGCACATGTGAGCACAAAGAGAAGTAAAAGTCACTGGATGGATATCGAGGAGGAGGAGGGGTAGGAATCTACCCAACAGGTACAATGAACACTATTTGGGTGATGTGCACTTATAGCCATGGCTTAAGCATTATAATAGCTATCCATGTAATAAAAACATCGGTACCCTCTTAATATTTTGAAATTAAAAAAGAATCCAAGGGCTGATAAGCCATTCTTGGAGGAGGAGTACTATTCTGGAAAGGATTTTGGTCTCCTCCCAGACTTTCTGACAAGCTAACTCTGAAATTCCAAGTTACTACAACAGATGGGGAAGATGTTATAACATCTGGATGTTATCTAGATGCCTTTGGATTCCTAAAATGAAAGCTATTCTTGAAAATTATAAACAAACCTGAACTAATACTAACTCAGACACTAACTGTAAATCAAAGTGCCCCAAAGCCTCTTCACTTCTGTAATTATTACCTATTACACACAGATCCGGGCACTATCTGCCCTCCCGAGATGCCACAGCACAAGAAAATGATTTTGAGGTTCAAGAGATAAGGGCTCTGGAGACTGGGCTTTGAATAATGCAAGGTGGTGGTTTCTTTCTCCATTCTTCTTGCTTTACAAGAAGATTGCTATCCCTTAAGAGCATGCTGTCTCATGCAGCTAAAGGTACAGGTTGCCATGCAATTTGTCATCAATCCATCAAGGCAGCGGTACATTCAGGGTGCCCTGGCTGGGATCACTGCCAAGCAGCGAGCTTTCCCTGCCTGGGTAGGGCATTCTTGGGCATAAAGCCAAAATCCAATGTCAGATATTGATCACTGCAGACTAGGGCAATCTCCCTATAGTATTTATGGACCCCCGATTTGCCCTTGGCATGACTCTAAGAATTCTGAAGCAGAGTCTTCATCCCAGCCCCTAAAAGCCTTGACACTTGGGTGCTGCCTCCTGTCCAACCAGCTCTCTTCACGTGCATTAAAAGAACCAAACCTATCTGAGGTCGTAGGATTTCTGTGCTAGTGGAAAGTGGCAAATAAAGATATTGCTTTTATGTCATCAGTTTAGCAAACCAGATTTTCACCCAGGCAATAGTCTGTTAATTTTAGAGCTGAATCCGAACAAGGGGTGGCAGAACTCCATCAGTCCAGAAGAAAGCAGAGGTCCCTGTGCGAGGTTTTAGGGACAGCATCTGGCCCTGAAGAGCCTGGGGCTGACCTGCAGCTGAAACTCCTGCCAGCCTGCACCCCCAGAGGGAGGTCTGTCACAGCCAGAGCTGGGGCAAGCAGAGACAAATGTCCTGCTCCTCTCTCTGCATGATGCCAAGGCTCCCCGTAGAACTTTCTCTGATGATGAAAATGTTGCCTGTGCTGGCCATCTGGTAGCCACACTGAACACATGAAATGGAGCTAGTAAAGCTGAGAGACTAAACTTTCATTTTAATGAATTTTCATTTGCAACCACACGTGGTTAGTGGCTACCATACTCAACAGTGCAGCTTTAAACCTCGCTGTAGCGAACATGCTGCCCAGGAAAGGCCCAGGAGAACTAGTTTTTGCACAACAGCAGGTAGAGACCTGATATGTCTCAGAAACCATAGCAGAGCCCAGGTTGGAAATGCAAGTGGCAGGGATTTCCAACCTTCCAACCACGGGAGGAAGGCAGATCAATGGGACGCCCTTCTGCACAGCTTCCTCCTGGAGAACAACTCATTCTGCAGAATTCAACTCAAGAGCATGAAGCATTCTGATTCCTCCCTGAGCAGCAAGCCTCAGTTTTCTCTAGGCCTGCAGAGCCCCAGTCCCCACCTCTGTGTCCTCACCTGGCCCAAGGTCTCACCTATTCCATCCAAGGTCTCACCTGGCTCCTACCTCCATCTGAGTGCTCACCTGAGTCTCACCCTGTTGCCACCTCCACTCTGGCACTCACCTAGTTCTCACCCTCATGGGAACACTCACAGCAC